ACGCGGTTATTACAGCTGACAATGATGATAATGATGATGATGACACAACACCACTCAACGCACAACCACTAACCCATCAATACGTTTCACCACGCTCCCTAACAACGCACTGATGATATCATTTAGATTGGTGATGAAACGTTTACGATCAAATTGCCCAGCTCAGCGAAATAACCAACGACCAAATACTGCAATTTTCAGATAGCCTCTCTGCATAACAACTCATAGTGACTTCATCTTTCCAGACTGCTCATTCAAAACTCAGCTTATGATAGGAAACAGCCTCATGGATTTACGTATGGCAAGCTGCAAGAAGCTCCACTTTCTCACTCCATGATGTACAAAGCATGCAATCGATTTAGATGCAAAGGATTTGTTCAGTGATCATTAGAACATAAATAGAAAATATCCGCCTGTTGAGTTTAGCTTAGTGCTGAAAGAGGACTTGCTAACCCTTGGGTTGAAATTTGCAAGTACGCATAGCGTTATAAAACTGAGTTTTCGAGGGGATCTCATCACCGGAAAAGTGCCACTTTTCAGGCTTCACATGGGTGAATCATATGTGTATGCTTAGGTGTTTGTATGTGTATGTAGTTAGTATAGGTAGCAGTATATGTAGTAGTACTTCATATAGTATATAGTATATATATACTATATACATATATATATATTACTACATATACTGCTACCTATACTAACTACATACACATACAAACACCTAAGCATACACATATGATTCACCCATGTGAAGCCTGAAAAGTGGCACTTTTCCGGTGATGAGATCCCCTCGAAAACTCAGTTTTATAACGCTATGCGTACTTGCAAATTTCAACCCAAGGGTTAGCAAGTCCTCTTTCAGCACTAAGCTAAACTCAACAGGCGGATATTTTCTATTTATGTTCTAATGATCACTGAACAAATCCTTTGCATCTAAATCGATTGCATGCTTTGTACATCATGGAGTGAGAAAGTGGAGCTTCTTGCAGCTTGCCATACGTAAATCCATGAGGCTGTTTCCTATCATAAGCTGAGTTTTGAATGAGCAGTCTGGAAAGATGAAGTCACTATGAGTTGTTATGCAGAGAGGCTATCTGAAAATTGCAGTATTTGGTCGTTGGTTATTTCGCTGAGCTGGGCAATTTGATCGTAAACGTTTCATCACCAATCTAAATGATATCATTAGTATATGTAGTAGCATATTTATCTAGTAAAAGTGCTTTAATATCCACTGTTTTAGTATTCGCGTTAGGTGGGGTTTTTCGTAGCTCTGGTGGCACGGCACCTGTTTGTCTTAATAGTTTGACCCGATCCTGAAAGTCCTTTTGTTTATACCTTGCTCAACTAGTTTTCTCTATTCAATAAATTCGAATTATTGAAATGATCCCGCCTTCAGCCGTACTCTGTGAAAAACCACAGTGCAAAGAAGTAAGTGAGAGTTGCACAACAATTACAATGGCTGAAGGCTGTAGGAGGACAGCCAAAGCGACAGTCTTAATTTAGCACTTACTCAGTCTGAAAGCGCGCATTCTAACTTCATCACAAGAATGCTGAGAAACAGCTCGAATTTTTAGTTTGTTCTGTGAAATATTCACTTGATCACTAAGATGTAACAGACAACTCGAAAATGTCATATAGCTTTCCTTCATTTGGCTGCGTTTCTTGGCCCAGATGCAGTAATTATGAAGTGATTTGCTTGATCTCACCTGTCTACAAGTAGTGAAAGTTAATGCGTGGATTTATATTCTCCGAGATCTGGTGAAGAGCTTGCGTCAAGGGTTCGTCAATCCTTTGCCCCCGAATACGAATCGGGAGAAACATTTATTGAGTCAGTGACTTGTACTGAATGCAAAAATTCTCCTACAGTCATTTCGGTCTAACTCTTCAACTAGCGACCTCCAGTAAAAGAAATCTGTTCAGTTCGGCCCAGTTTTACAAAGAAGACGCAATACGCTCACAAAACTGTAAAAATTCGGTTCTACGGAATGCCAGTGTAATGGTGGATACTACTGATGGAGCATTTGAGTAGAATGTTTTCTCGTAAATCCGCTTCACATCTCTCAAAAAGTGAGATCTATTACGGAATTTGTGGAGTCACACTTACTTGCATTTGAGCAACAATCAATGATTATCCGGGAAAGTTCAGAAAGACGCGTTCAAGAGGATGGATATTAAGCTTTTGTAAACAAGATACATATGAGAGTTATGCTTCCCTGTCCAATGGTCTGTAACTGTTCACTTGGCGTTTTCTAATAAATAACTCCGCAGCTAAGGTCTTCCTTTCACCAGTACATCAAGCCATTTGGATAGTGAGGTTTTGGTTCAGTAGGAATTCGAATGTTAACACTCCGTCAAATGGCAGAGTAGTATTTTTTTTGTATTTAATCCGTCAACCTGTATGCCACCGCCCGAGTGTTGTGATCAGATATGATTAAACCTGAGGAAAGGAGCATGTGAACGGAAGAACTAAACTGAATGAAACTGCATATTTTTTTCAAGCTATTTATTTCAAGCTATTTACACTTCTTGTTACTTACGCCTTTAGGGTGTGATCTGGTCCATCAAAGAGCGTCTCACAGGTGTTTGGGAGCCGGAACAGTCGGCAGAGTTTCAAGAACTCACCGAACTGGACAAGCGAGGAGAATTTGAGCTACACGAATTCAAACCGCTTCTGGGTCTAGCAGAGCGCCTGTATGGAATAAAAAATCTGTAAGTTGGAATTAACAGAGAGTCCTTTCGATATGACAGTCATATGTTTCTGCACTAAACTTTTTAGACAGAGGTGTGGTGATTCTGTGTACGTCATGGATGGCTTACGGTCGATTCCGCAGCAGCTCAGCTGGTAGGACAATAGTACGGCGAGCGCAAAGTCATGCGTTTAACTCCTACTGTTGTGATCTTTTCTTTTATTCGAGTTGCTGTTCTTTTCCTTTGAGGAATTTAGCACACGAAACTAATGTCTTCTGGAGATGAAGTTTGCCTCAAGAAACCAAATAACTGTTACGTTTTTATTAGACATTCTGAAAATAGACTTTCCAATGAAGGACAGATGTATCTGTACAAAATGCTGTACTTAAATGGAAGTCCATTATGTTTTATACATGCTTCCGAACACTGGTGCGCTTCCGCTTTACGGGTTTTAAAGAACTGTTAGCCATCCCTGTTACTAAGAATAAATTTAACCCACTAGGAGACTTCAATAACGTTTTCAGGTCGTTCCCTTAGCCCAACACTGTGATGATAAGATACAGGTTTTAGAATTATCGTGCAGTTTTAGACACAAGCGTTAAGTACATTATTAAACTCTAACTTATGTTCCGAGTAATAATGTCACATATCAATTATATACTAGTTTGATTCTTGTTCCTGGATCCCTTTTCTATCTTTTGTATTGTTGTACTGAGTTGCAACCCTCAACTTCAAATTGCTCAAGGATTCCAAACTGATTATTTCGTAGAACATTAGCGGTACGTCTAAACTTCAAGCAACATCACAGCACGCCGTGGAGTGCAAGCAGAATGGGGCCTGCTGTGCGCAGACCAGGTTGATTAAACTCTGCACTTCAAAAGTATATGCACATAGTATTGAATCTAGAGAGTTCATTCCACATGAGAGACATAAATAAATGTCCGTTGATAATGGAGGATACTTCAAGGAGTGGGCTCAGTTGTAGAACCTGAAAGAATAGGACAACTATGGAGCACAAAACTTCAGCGTATGAAATAACTCCTCGAAATCAGATTGCCTTCAAAGTGACGAACAGCATATTTGTCCGCATCTGCCCTTTTTCTGAATTCACTTCATGTCACAAGAACCTAAACAATGCCTTACTGACCGAGTTTAAAATTTCGTGGAACCGTGTTTAAAGTGGATAGCGGCTCCCACTCCAGTAGCTGACATGTATGTTGCTCGATAACTAAAGACGCACAGTGTTTCGGGATAATTAACCTGCGACATAGCTGTCACATCATAATAGCTATGATAACGTTCTCCATTTTCCAACGCTGAACAGGAAAGTCGTATGCAGTGAAATATGGCCACTTTTGCCGGGTCCATTGGAACGTGCAGACTTCTATAATCTCAAAGAAAAGCTGCAGCACGTTGTATTACATCCCAGCTTGCGAAACCTATTGATTCGAATAGAACAATTGACAAGACTGATTTCGGATGATCTCTTGTGGACTAATACCGCAAAAAGTGACGGTGCTTCAGCATGCTGACACAAACTTACTTTGTATGTGACATTTTGACTCGTAATCACACACCGGTACGCGAACGATTCTTACCTCTTAAAAAACTGTGTACTACGGTATAATTCACTTTATCTTGGTATATAAAATTTATTTCTGCGGGATCCATACACTGCATATTCGATGAAAACGTTTGCCTCAATGAAAATACTGTTTGATGCTGAAAATTTAATTCAGACTTTGAGACCAATATATGCAAAATGTGGCTAAAGTTCAAACAGCACACGAATGCATTGCATTTGGAGAATCGTGCCTGCGACTGGAAAGCATGTAAAATAACAGGAAAAAACAACACAGTAGGTGACTTTGAGCAAGAACCTGGTAGTAGGATGTTATGTAAATGAAAAAGTAGTCTATCACATAAACAATCATCAAAATAGGCCCATGACAAACGGTCTTGGACGGCACAAACCTGTAAAATTTCGGTTTCATTGAATTTTTTCTCCAAAGTTATCAAGCTCCATAGGAAAACGTAGTTCAGTTTCAGTAGTCCCTATACTCGCACAACAGTTAGCCTGCATGGCTTTATAAAATGCTAGGCCTTGGGAAATAGTCCGATTCTTCGGAAACCCAGAACTGTTTTTGAGAAATTAGGTCCACGAGTCAAATCAAAAAGGGAGTTCTGCTAGCAAATTAGCAGCGGACAGAACTGGGAGCCTCTCACTTAAAGCCAATTGATAAAACGGTTCGAATTAAGCTGATTAAACGGCAAGCAGAAGGATAAGCAACTAGCGGTGGATGAGTCGGGGTATGGGTGAAGGGATGATAGTATCCAAATATGGAGTTACTCATTGTCAGCCCGAACAAAATGGTTGTACACAATTCGGCGCAGGTGCAGAAACCCCATTCGCATGGTGTTTGAGAAACCAAATATTCTCCGGCCTTTCCCACTGAACTTCTTTGGACAGATCTTACGCACAGGTTTCATCACTTGTGTATGTTTTTGCCCACATCCTCCTCCGAAATTCGGCAACTACACCTCCGATAGTCAATTCGTTTAACCAATATCAGTTAAGACGGATTATTCTTTCAGCACTTTCGCTGACGCCTGGTGCTAGTCTTCTGTCCGAAATTCTATAAACGTCCCCATTGATGGTCGATAACTATAACAGATCCCTGTCACAGACTCTGCATGTTTCGTGATCCCACTCTCCGTCTTTCAGGATTACGATGACCTCTTCGCTTGGCCTTCGTCCTTGTGGAGGAACAGTCAGGTTTCGGTGCCCACTTTCGTGCTTTTTCTAATTTTCCTTAACGCCTTAGTATTTCTCGTTCTCTTTCTTTCTCTTCTAGCTCTTCAAAAGACAGGTGCGCGGTTTGTTATAAACCGATTTCCCGACCAACAAAGAGATGTGCCTGCCGGCTGCACAACATGAATTGACACCTACTTATACTAAAGTGGGTTGATGTGAGGTGTGCTAACAGCTCTGTCGGCAAGTTCACTTTCCAAACAATCCCCGGGGATGACCGGTGATCGTCTCAAAGTATTACGTTGTTTCGTTTCATCAAACAGTTAGTTCTTTGGAGGATGTCGTCCCCAACCGTCTATTACCTAACCGCCGCAAGCGATTCCTGAATATAGCCACTGGTCTTTTAGGGTTATAATCGGTGTCCCGTGGTTCGCTGCACTGTGCTGGATTGCTTCTCAGTTGATTGTGAATTTGGTGCGGCTGCAGCCTCGATCCACTATGAAAGGTGTTCTGTCATCACCTTAATGTGCTGACTGTCACCGAAAATGACAATAACAGACCGAAACCCTCATATTTCTTGCACAGCGACAGGTTCCATAGGGTGGTTTTGCCCCTCACCGATTGGTCTAACTCGGATGTCACAACACACTTAGTTTTATTACTTCTCATCCATGACCAGGAGATCATTTACCCAAACTAATAGTACTTTGTGCCTTGTAATCAAGTCACGAGGTACCACCAACCGTACCGTGTACGAATCATCGAAACCCTAGGATGATATGTCACCTTCATTCAGACTCAACCTACCGGAGATCTGTCGCAATACCTCCGGTTCTTCATTTTCCTCCCGCGTCTACGCAAACTCTCCCATCCAACGAAGCGCCTGAAACCCTCTATAGTACAGGGTCCTGTTGTGGTACTTACACCAAAATCTCGAGGTCCTGTTAGATGACGAAAATGACGATCACGATCTTCGGGGCCTTTTCGTTTCCAGACCCCGGTCTCAAAAACCGACCGGTCAGCTTATTTTCACTTTTAGATACATGCTGGATTTGCAGTCACCCGAAGCGCAAGCTTCCTGCTGGGATCTATGGTGGTCCTGATCCACCTAGGTGCTTGTATTCTCAGTCTGGAACCTTTGTCCCGTAAGAGAATCTCCACTGCTTTAAGGCCCAGCCGAATACTGAACATTCTTCTTGATGACTGAAGACTTTTCTTCAGCATTAGTTAGTATACAGCTGGCATACCCCATGACTACAAATCTGGCGAACTTTGCGATAGTAAATACCCCTTCAACCTTTGGTACGTTGGGGATGAGTTGCTCTTTCGGCGTCCACGTTTTAACACGTCTGGAGACCTCTTGCGCCTCAATCGTTCACCCAAACTCCCTATCGTGAAGGAGTAATCCCACAGTAAAAGTGATCGGATTCAACTTTTGCTTGTGGGGGTGGCCTTGAATTCGGGGCTGAGTTGTTTTTGATTATTTCCAGTTTCTTCGATACCAGCTTGGCGTATCATGACCAACTTTACGGGTGATGTCACCGAATTTTGAGGGAGTTGTGTCTTGACTTCATTGGTTGCAGACCAGCTTCTTCGATAGGCTCCAACAGGGCCTTCAAATGCACTGCACGTTCCGTTTTCTAATAGTTGTACATGATATTGTCGTCTCCATACGAGGAAATGTCATCTAAGCTCTGTAATAAACGAAACATCTAGTATCGAAAAGTAATCGGTGTCTCTAGAAAGCCAGGCGTCGAAAACCGTGTTCTCCTAATTCCTCAACTTGATGGCCAGTTGCCGGGGGGGGGGCAAATCAAACGCAGTAGAATGTAGGGACTTCTAGGGCGAAAAAAGTCTCTACGATCGAAGAGGCGGTTCCTATTGGATTTCAGCTCACCTCATCCAACCACTGAAACCCCGCCCAAAATCGGCTTTTTCTAACAAGAATCATACAGCCAAATCATTCGAAATACAGAGACGTCTCTTGCTCGATCCACGGACAAAAGCCAATATGGTCTTTCTCAACTGTGAACAGTTGCACGGACTCCTCGGCCACAGGATGTACTGGTGTAAATTTGCAAGATGAAAAGTTTCTGAATTCCACTCACGGCAGCTCTTGGGTTACTGTTAAGGCTAACCACTTTTTACTTCGTCATCGGTTTGCCTTATCTCGTCTCTGCAATAGATAGTGTATTCCTGTGGAATCTGTCCCCTACAATCGTCTGTTCTACTTCAAGGCCAATCAATAACATACTCACAGTTATGTCCATTATGAGGATTGTGTGCAATGACGATCAGTCTACTGTCTGCCCCTTGTCCTCACTAATATGTAGGAGGTTTTCGTATTCGAGCTTCCATCTAGATCAAGTACTTGATCGCTTCTAATCAGTGCTGGGTTTAAACATGAACCGTTTGACAAGTTGACGTCAGCAAGGTAGTTTGCTCGTGGAGAATTGAAAGTAAGAGTACTACTGAAGCCCGTAGTCGAGTTATGGCAGGCTCTGGGCTGACACCTACATTCTTTTGAAACAGCCGGTGTGTGTACCTTAAGAAGAATTGCGACGATTAACTGATCTTATTTGTCTGGAACGCTCCATTGTTCCAAAACAGGTTCAAACAACCTAGTTAGGGTCGAACGTAGGGTAGCACCCATGGGAGCTGATCCAGCTTGGTACTCAATCGCGTTTCAAAACTGGAAGACATAGCATTGCTTCATCAATTCAGGAAGAACCCAAACTCACAGACCAGGGCTCGAGGTGATTTAGCCGAACGAAACACTGCAGTACAGAGGCTGATGGCCAACTCTTGCAGAAAATATTCTGCTTAGCTGCTTAGACGCTGCCTTTGATTGCATTTTATATTGCCAATGTAATATTTCGTTAGCTCACTAACAGACGTTGTCATGGAGTGGCTGCAGCAGAGATACCGCGCGTTCCGCGATGTTTTAGCCTATTCCGTATTCACGTGCAAACTTCATTACAATCGACGTCTGAAAAGTACACGATGTTTAATGAAGGAATTGTAGTTAGCGTTCTGAGATCCAATGATTATTACTTGTGTGCCCTGTTCGCAGCGTCAACTCTAGCGGTTTTCCTCTCACCTGCAGCTGCAGTTTAATCTTTTCTAAATAAACCTCTTCCAATGATCATATAGCGTGCTTCGGTATGCTTATCTAATCTGTGGATCGGAGAAAAGTTTCCTTATCAAATTGGAGGTTTACATCTCAGCTCAACCCCGGAAAATTCACCGTGTGGCCATAATTACATGTGTTACAGAATGACTCACACTTTCGTACTAAGCTTCACCAGCGGTAGCTAATGGTTGCGTGATCGGTTTGGCTTCACGGTTGTTCAGCCGTATAAGGATGCCTAGCAGAACGACGGCGTCCACTGCCTCTCAACCCATGACTGTTGAGGAACAACTGGTGGTCTACTGTATAAGGCAATCACCGTTATCGTTGCACTTTGAGTCTAGGCTTAATTTGACAATAAATTTCACCTTGAATAAAATGAGGCCCCATAAAATCTGCAAGTAGGTTATACCTGAACTTTCGTGGAGGATGAAAGGGTGATTAACTCCCAACAATAAAATGTATTTCGTGGGATCAATGCTGCAGTTGGATGATGCGTTAGCAGAGACTCTAGGCAAAGAGTGGTTACTGTTTTGGCTTGCGCGAGTCTTTACGGTAAACGACAGACGACAAAGCAAGAAAGTCCCAGTTCGTGAGCTGAGACATACCACCACCAGCGCTGCTAGCTGAGGCAGTTGAGAAGCTAGCATAAGTTCGCAGTCGATAATGTCCACACTCATTAACCTCATTTGCTGTGGTTTATCTTTTATTTGTGATTCATAAGTGCAGCAAACGTCTTTTGATAGATTATCAAGAGTCCCAATAACAACACCTCATTCATCTTCTGGGTGAAACATAAAAATGGGCGAATGGAGTATGAATATTGCAGGCCGAGTGGTGGACGTGAGGGCCTGACTGAAGTGTCTAACTGAATGGGATACGAGGGGTTTACAAATGGATGGTGAAGAAGGAAAGAAGGTGTCAGCGATCACTTGTTTCCGATTGTCCAGTCTGCTGTGTGCATAGAATAGGGTGATGTGGCTGGTGTCACCAAGCGACGGTCAAGGTGGCATTAACGCGCTTCTGTTTGTGTGATTTGTGGTTTTATGCTGACTGATACACTGTTGGGACGTCCAAAGATTGTCAGAAGGATTAGTGTTCGATAAAAAACATTTGAGTCCACAAGACAGCGATGGTCGACGCAGAACTACCATAATAGCCTAATTTTTAAGGGACAGGTTGCCGTAATTTTTCCTCTCTATGGGTCACTACTATCAGACCTTCATCTAACCTGATAAAGAGGTCCTGTGGATTCTGTAATAGAATCCTCCAGTACATGTTAAAGAGGTATGCACACCGCCACACTACGGTAATTTCCGGTCTCTTCGCGATGAGTAGCTAAAGACAAGAATCAACACTACCATACAGCACGCCCGACTTTTCTGCTCTCAGTCAGTTTGCTAGATCCGCCACCGGACCAGTACTGGGTCGCAGTCATTGGCTTGGAATCTAACGGATCACAAAAAGGATCAGAGGGTGAATTGATGTCACGTAAATTGGCATCGAATATAGGGACTTCGAAACTACCCATGCTAGAGGTCTTGGAATATAATACTCAAAGGAAGCAAGCCGACAATCCACTAGGGTTTAAGGAGAGGAGCTAGTGAGAAGGTGAGGTCGGAACCGGAAGTAAAACGTCTACACACCTTACGGTGAGTAGTACTTTGAAGACCGAAATCAAATCAAGAATATTTGTAACATGGCAAAAGCCACACTGTTGCTTCCTCACCATTTTTTCTCATCCCTCGGCCCTAACACAACGCACACAAATTTCACAAACGTCGAACGAACCGCTCACAATCCGCGACTGCTGATCAGGATGATGTGCTGATTATTAGGTATTAATTGTTATTACAAAGACCACCGAGCTAGAACTGATATGGTAACTGGAGCGCAGAGATAAAAAACTGTCATGTGTATATGTACAGCTGACTCGAAACCGAATCCACATGTCATAAATCACGTTTTAGACGTTAGCTCAGGTTGTTGCTAGGGCAGATAGCTATAGCCCTCAGGTATTGTGGGTCACCAATGAAACAATACATTTATTAGCTGAAAAGCCGGTGGAAATGCAACGCAATATGTCCGAAAATTTTCCATTCGAAGAGTAACCAGTACCAAATGACAGGCTGTGACCGGGTGCTATTTATTTCAGGGACGTTTGATACGAAACTCCCATCGGTGAGGCGTATAACAAAGTGACATCGAAACGAGGGAGGCAGCAATGAGCTTGAGCAGAAGTTAGCAATACGATGGATCGGTCACTAATATCGTTCGACACCAAAAATAGCAGATTTGCGCTTCATAATTTTTCGACCTAGTTTTATTCAGTTGACCAGGCTTCCGTGACCATGTGACCGAGAATTCAGGCAACAGTGCTCATGGAGACACGTTTTTCTAGTGTACTACTGAGGGTTTGGGCAGCTTTCATTTATTATTCCGAGGCTGAATTTCTATGATAGGCTTAGTATTCCATAAAGCATGCTTGAGCTGCTTCTAAACAGGTGGTAAATTCCACTGTAGTGTTTAAAACAGACTGGTATCAGCTGATCATCACACAATCACGTCGGTGGGCCACTTGTGGCCGGTTCCTGTCTGGTTCTCCGAGGTAATCGCTCAGCCTGTATGTCCAATCGAATGCTGATCTGTTCCCGACTAACTCTCTCAGAACATATTCGGCGCCTGCCATTTACACGATTCAAACTTCCACAGACTAACACGGCTTTCATTTTCCCGAGGCTGAATTTCTATGATAGGCTTAGTATTCCATAAAGCATGCTTGAGCTGCTTCTAAACAGGTGGTAAATTCCACTGTAGTGTTTAAAACAGACTGGTATCAGCTGATCATCACACAATCACGTCGGTGGGCCACTTGTGGCCGGTTCCTGTCTGGTTCTCCGAGGTAATCGCTCAGCCTGTATGTCCAATCGAATGCTGATCTGTTCCCGACTAACTCTCTCAGAACATATTCGGCGCCTGCCATTTACACGATTCAAACTTCCACAGACTAACACGGTTATCAATCATGATTGTTAATGGATGAGCTGAAAAATTGAGGCACATTCCCAGGCAAATCGGAAATTTCCAAAGTCGAAAGCTGGTGGATTTGAGCGATACAGAATGGCCAATGAATTGCATGGCGAAAACGTTCACCTACATTCCAAAAAGTTGAATCTCCCCTAGAGTATATGACAGAATCAAGGTAGGAAATTCACGGCATCTTATTATTACTCATTCAACATCAACTGAACTGAGAATAAATCGGCAGCGTGAGAACACACCGAAACCAGTATTGTATGAGGTACAGAATGGTGAATTTTTATGTAAAATGAACTAATTTAGCGAAGGTAAATTGTGGGTAACCTGATCGGCTTTTCCATACGAACTAAACCTCTTGAATGCTCACGAGAAAGCGTGTCTTCTCTCGAATTCCCTATCATAGCCTGGCTAAGTTTTACAGCAACATAACGGCCATCATTCACTTTTCGTTCGACATATATTGACAACACTGGCACAACAAGTGATGATCGCTTATTATCTAAAAGAGCTTAATTTAATGAAGACTAGCTCAGTGAACACGGTGATAGAACCTTCTGCCAGATTTTTGGTAAAATAAACACACGGTCCTATCCAGAAGTGTTGGACTGGCAAATTCTGAGTTCTGACAAATTCCACCTGGAATAGAAAATGCGTCCGAAATTCGATAGACTGTCAGTATTTCAGCCTTAAAACAATACGACTTATATTCACAAATACCGAAACAGGGAAAATAAGCGATCAAAGGGATAAGCGCAAAAAATTTGGAGAAAGCCTGGAGGAACTCATCAGAAGACAATTTAGCGGAATGTTTGGACATAGTTGAACACAGGTCAGATTATACTGAACCGGAAAACTCAATGGTATCACAGACGTTGGGACGACGGTGGAGGTCAACAAACCCATGTTTTGTAGTTCAGCTTGACCACATTTTGAACGTAATCGGGAAAGTCAACCCCGATATAATCCATCAAAGTAACATTTAGGCCATGAATACCAGCGACGCGTTTTTCAGCCTGAATCCATTGCACGAACGCTTTATTAGCTATCCTGGCCAGGTGGCGTACGGAGCCGAATGGATGACGAACTATATAGCCAGCTGTAGGAGTGAGAACACCCTGGAATACGTAGAACTGGTTTGGACGTCGAACAAATGTGGGCCTGGATTGAACAAGAAAAAAAACAGATCTTCAAAAATGTGTCCTAATTATATACAGAGCAGATTATCAAGGTCAGTAACATGGAAGGGATTGTTAGCACGTAAAACTGGTGCACTGAGTTTGAGTAGCTACGAGAAAGATTCATCTTGACAGATACCATGGTTAAAATATTCGGATAAATAGCCAAAACTATGCAGATCTTATATGAAACAGGCCCTTGGTAACAAGTGTGGTTTTATTCTGAGATGAAGAAATAAAAAAGAGGCACTTCACTTCGGATGGGAGAAGGAGGAACGCTAATTGTCGGTGTGGATTGTCATCAACGGCGGTTGAGTGATCTGGAATCGGAGTTGGTGGACGAGCAAAAGGGGGCACAAATGGCTGGGTGGGATGGCAGATGAAACATCGTCTCCTTCAGACCAGGTGCAATTCGCAAGCGAGACCGGAACGATATCCCTGAGTGTCATCTGTTACTCGTTCCGGTTCGTTAGGGACACCATGTTCCACAGTGTCTTCCACCGGAACTGCCTTCGGTTCTTGGTTGGACGGCCCGTTGACAGTGGTTACCGTCCAGTTACCCTGCATCACCGGTATATCTGCAGTGCACGCACAACGTGGGTGGACATAATTGGGACAGCCACGACGTAAGCGACGATTTCCGGATACTGTAGCTCGATTGTGGATAAAGGCTGGTCCATTTGATTTCTTTTCATGACAACGGTATGTGGGTCGAAGTCTGGGTGAGGTAAAGCTTCTTCTCCCGCGCCACCGCATGCACAACACATGAAGATTCTTCGAGAAGCCACAATATTAAATCGTAAATTTTCGAATTCGAAGCTATTGGCCAGTCTTTGTTTAAAAAACCCGATGGTTCCTTTGGTTCAGCAAATGTGTCGATGTGCTCTCCATCCAGATGATTCAATTTCGAATGTTTCCTGAACTTGGAGCGCTTCATGATGCCTAGGGAACTAAGGGAAGTTGAGGAAGAATGTTCTTGATGAAGTCCGGTCGAATGTGAAGCAGTGTTCGAGTCATCCGATTCGCTCAATGAGTCGCAGCGACAAGCTTCGGCCGATGCACGTTTCCTCGGAAGGCCGGGCAGCGGAAATCAACCGAACGTGTTGCTCAGGCCCCTTTTTTGAACTGAATTCGATTCCAGTTTATGATATTTAGGACTGAACATCCATTGGAAAAGTGTTATGCGTCTGTCTTGTTCTGGTTTGGATAGCAAGGCTGCCTCTGCAACCTCCCAGGCCAACTACCATGCCGGTTGAAGGTTGCATAACGAAATGACAGAGAGCTTTGATACGGTCGCCAGACTTCAAGACGGCGTCACGCATAAACGACGCAACACAAAACGACCTGTGAGACCACAGGGTGTCTAATTTTCTCTATATTCACTTTTGAAGCAAAAAACCCTTAGCAAAATCAAAGGACAAAGGTCTTGAAAAAATCACTAGAATGTGGGGCTTCAATGAAAGAGATGGCTCAGGTGGTTAGAGCACGAATTTACTGACCGGAACTTCCGTGGTTCGAACCCGACGTCTGCTTCTCGACTTTCCCTGTCTGGTCTTGAGCAACACGACTGTATCCCGGTCCTCGTGATTCCTTCCGGTGGCATGGCAGCTAGGCACCGTTACAGCTGAAGGATTTTTCTCAGGGACAGAGGTCAAAGTTCGAACCCCGCCTGTGCATCTCGACTTCCCTGTCTAGGCTTGGGCACTCTGGCAGTATCCCAGCACTCGTGCTTCCTTCTGGCGGCATGCAGATAGTCAGCTACAGCTAAGTAGGAATTTACTGCATAAACACGATTACCTCCTGTCTATCCATCGTAACCGAATAATACTATTATTTATCTCTGGTGATTCAGTCCGGAATGAGTAGATTCCCATACAAATGAATGGCTAGCATCCACATCGGATTAGCTCGTCAGTAGTGGTCAGGCCATTGAACACCTGCACATAGTCAAGAAGCCGGAGGCGGATTGCGCGGGACTGAATACGGTGCTGCATGCAAACTTTGTTGTCCATGTAGACCCAATAGAATAAGGTTGGTGGGAGAAGGCGCAAGCCGGAAGTTAGTCTAAACTTGCTGTACAAGAGAAACTTGAAACATGAATAAACTGATGGCAAATGCCAGTACGGTCAGAAACAATACCCAAGTATTGATAAAAAACGACGAAGCGACATATCTGCCTGGCTGAGTAAAACAGTATTGGAAAGTGCTGTTTATCATTCCCATAATTAACCATTTGTTTTATCACACAGTGCAGGTTTCGTCCTATCTGCATGGTAGCTTGGATAGAGGGGAGCTTACCAACACAAATTATCTACGATGCATTACTGAATTGTCTAACTCGTCATTCACAGTCGAGCATCTGGTAATGAACATTTCGACCAGGTTCAGTTTAATCTCTCGGAGCATTTGAACTTCAAAAAGAGGACAGAAACCGAACTTACTGGGTACCGACCCAGTAGGGGTAAACTAAATCAAAACAGTAGCTTACACACCCGTAGTGTTCTTCAAGATATTGTATCATTTTATCCACATGAATTGTGTTCGGCCATAAAGATAAAATCTGCCGTCCGGGCCAAAACTCCTTTGTTCCCTCCGAACGCAGACAAGAAAAGAATAATATTTGTTTTCCATCTTTCCACATCTCTTCCAACGTTGGTACAGTCGTATTCCACGGGCACAGGAAGGAACCAACAACCTGAAACGATAGTGTTGTAGGTCAGAAACCAGTCTATCATCGGTGTCTAGAGCGAGTAGTGTAACCATAGCACAAGACTTCTGAAATTATACAGAGAAAATACTCTGATTTACAACGGCAAGCCAAATACTAAAGCTGTAATTCACCGTAATCAATAATACCCTGATCCTAGCTTCATTACTATGGACAGGCAAACAGCAAGTGGCCAACAATAGTTCTTCAAATACCGGTCGCATTATGGATATTTGTCTCCCTGATATGGATTGCTTGATCTTAAGTTGTGGATACGGGGATATTAGGTGTCAAGGTTAATTGTTTAATCGAAGATAGCAATATTACTGATCTATGGCCACAGGATCCATAATTCAACACGTAATTCCAAGGGTGCAGTTTAGTGCAAATATTTGTGTTGCGAATGTCCAGACAACTAAATGAATCTTGTATTCTCAGACAGAAGAATTCCAATGACAAAAATGGTATAAACACTCACGCTACAGACGGTCTCCTCAAAAGTCACCACTTTTTGCCGCGTCGTAAAATTGTAGCAATGATTGCAGTCTATTAGTACGACTTCTCGGGGGTGTGAACGGAGGAAATCGGCCACAGCTCGCAAATCATCAACAATGGGGCAAACATATTGGCCATGGACGAGGTAGAATTGTTCTGGTGCGCTCTTATCGGGCCGAACGGCAACACGTAAATCCAGATAGCGAATGCCCATTTGGAGCTGCCTGGCCAACGAGAACGCCTGAGTGATGGTCCAAGGTGGCAATACGCGACCAGCAATGCACTGAGGCAGGTGACGGACTAGGTTGTAGGCGTCACCGTCGGGTGAAGGGACAGAGTAATGAGTGATGGTAGATGTGAAGGAATCGTGACTGCCTAGGTAGAGGATAAGCAAGTTTGGAATATAGCATTAATCGGTTTCTCATTGAATCCTGTCAGTGGATTCCCAGAATGAATTCGGTCGCTGTAATCCACATGAAATGGCCCAACCTCCTAACAATATTGAAGTTTTCAAAGCGTTCTTCTCTGCAGTATCTAGAAATACTGTCCAGGCTGCGTTCTCCCACTAACTTACAAAGGGTGCCTAAAACGAAGAGTTTTGAAAGAAAATAACGCAAGCAATGATATATCTCAAATGGATCCGATCTTCCCAGAGATGAAGCCATCTAATAGTGATGGATTCTTTCGGGCAGCCCATTCGACGCCGTCGAATTTCGTTTAGAAATGGTGCAGATAAAATCATACGAATTATGATGCCCACCATCGTAAAAATTGGTAATACCAACCATGGAGTTTAGGTTTTCGACCCTGGAATGTACTTTTCTATGGGGAATCCAGCTGTACCCATCTCTGCAATATTGGAACACGCCCTCATTAGGCGAGTGTTGAATGCTTGAGGGAAGAGTACGATAGACACGTGAACAATATTTTATATCCTGGCATATTTATTGAGCCCAATCCACCACTTACTATCATCCCAGTCCATGTGTATGGACACTTAACGATAATAATAAATATCCATATTGATGACCAGGGAAAATCCGACCGATCAAACCGAAGGTGTGAATACAGAAGGCATAGCAGATGATGACAAGACTAAGGTGGTATGGTAAAGTCATTGACGATTTACATCAGTCACATGATGGCTAGTGTCCACGAACAGTGATAGATACCTATCCACCGGGTCAACTAGTGATCCCTTAGGGTGCAGATTTTACAGATAACCGCGTTCGAGAAGTAGCATCTGGGATGAATTATAACCTCGTTGCCTTACTCATCTAGCTAATTTAAATGTTTGGGTTTAGGAGTAAAATGTAGTGACCGTTAAGATGTTGGACAATGTTCCACTGTCCTTTAATTGTAATTTTTGGGGGGACTACAAAATTAATTCTCCCGAATTATTCCAATCCCCACATCTAACCCATGGGCCATTGTAATTGGGGAAGATCAACGCACTAGACTACCACTGTCAGACAACCTAACGGTACCCGCCTCTATAAGCACTGACGTGTCAGAATTACATTTGAAAAGTTAGCGTGCCTGAGTATCACCGTTCACAAACCAGTTACCAGGAGGCTGCAGCATTACGCGCGCTTAAATTTGTCACTGTGTGCAATTAACACGGCTACCTGGAATAGCAAGCAAGTTCAGCGGCTGCTTGGCAATTTCGTCAGGAAGATTGGTCATCCATTCGCTTAACGACTCAGAAGAACGTAGCTGTGTTTGAAACAAAAAGAACAAAAGTGTGTACAGAACACAGTGACGCCAGTGAGTGGATAAGTAATACAACTACACAGAAATGCTATCAAACACAATTCTTCAGGCAACCAGTCAACGTCAAATGGAGAAAAAAGTGTTGACTTTAGAGACTAGAGTGACTGTAAAGAGCAGAACCTATTGCGGATCTCTACAATCTATCCAACTAATCTTGTTGCAAACGTATGCCCTGGATTGGTATGGAAACTTCTCCCTCACTCCACAAGCGGTGGTTATTTGCGGACGGCACACGGACGCAGCCAGGTTGTCATGGGTTACTTGAAATTATAGTCGTTAGAGTTCACAGCGCATGTCGCATTTTGTCGGTCATTTGTCAGGGGTTACCAAGAAGATTATTCTTTTCGTGTCATAGACACATGCTCAGAAACATACTGAACTTCAATAGTCCATCCTTTCTTAAAGTCCATCTAAAAATATATTTTTGCCTAAGCTACCGTGTGACTTATTGATGCCACCAGTAGGATGTGCACACTGCTTCGATGTTGAATTTGTTTCAGCAGCTAGCGCAAAAATCCGTCCCTTGTTTTGTTTGAATTGATTTCCCCCTACTTCCAGGGCAAAATCTTTACTTGCATATTTAAAGTTATTTAGTCTTTCACTGGCTTGACAACAAGGGCTCAAATGGGCAAATGGACCCTACCTCATAAGCACCTTCAGGCATTTGACGGATTACAAAAATAGAACTTAGATAACATGACAAAACACGTAATTAGCCCGCCAGATCAAAAGCTCATATGTGAATTTGGTTCTGTAGGACTGTTCCTTCGATTTAAGGAGAATTGCCTATATATACGTAATACACTACTCATGAGGTTACTGAAAATTCCTCGACAGCCCACGAACTATTATTGTCGAAATAGGAGAAACACCGATGACTACGTCTGGATGCCCAAAACGTACGCTGATCAATTAAAAATAATGCACATACCACAAAGACAATTTACGTAGGATTGTGCGAAGCTCATGAGTTGCTTATACACCCATCTGCATAGCAATTTGGGTTTGACGGAAGATTTAGTGCTAACTCAACTGAATCACTCATTTATTTGCCTAAGAACATCACAAACGACAGATTCAGCCAGATTTAAAATGAGTCTCCCGTCGAAACTAAATTGGCATGTAGCCAAGTATATAAGTCAAATTCCGTGCAATTGGGGTTCGATTACACCATAAGGTTGACGGAAACTGGGCGCCTGCACCTATCTGATGAGCCTTATAAAGGTTCAAACCGATAGCGGCAAGCTTATTGGTAGTCTTCTAATTCTACGTCATCTTCAGTGTGCACATAGAATGTAAATGCTCACAAGGAGGATTACGGTAGGGTGGAGTGTGGGATTCTACACGATTCAGTATGTGAAGGCGAGTGGAAGTGAATACATCAATTCGGATGCTTAACTCATCCAGCCCGAATGCAGTGAGCATATGTGTGAAGTTTATCTCTACACAGACATTGAGCGGTCTGTCCAGTGTTTGCCCACCAGATAAATTTCAGATCAGAACATTTTGCATTGCGAGTGCGCCAACCCATTGTAAAATGGGTCTGTTCAGTTGCAGAATCTCCATCTTGTTCCCTTCCCTCCCCCCCAAAAAAAATACGCTAGTACCCTCAAAAAATATATCACATTCGGCTTGATGCTTCATTGTTATTCAGGACCTAGCCAGGAGAACTCCTTTCACATGATCCTCGCCGGAATTAACTAATTCGGACTCGGTGTGTCTTAAGGTCTTTGGAGACCTTAATAATAAACCTGACTGTATTAGTGTCAGTCAAAAACACACCAGTTGGTGAAAAAACCTGAAACATGGTCCCGCATGCTGGCCTCTGTTGGCAAGCACACGGTGTGATCCCTGCTTTGAATTCATGGCTGGCTTCTAAAAAGGTGTAAGTTATGAGTCAAATCCCAAGGAACTATACCAAAGTGCTCCTAGTTGGGAAATTCCTCTTAGAGAGGGCTCACTGTAATCACTGGATAATTCGAGAATACGGTTAGCTAGTCTGTCAAAAGTGATCAGTCAGTGCACTACCAATGCACACGATGCAACATACAAGAAATATAATATGTGAAGTGGACAGCCTTCAGCGAGGACCCTACACGCTTCCTTCCACTGCATGGTCACCGGAATATAAATACGGATTTTAATGATCTCAGCTTCAGGGGCTAACCAGGTCAGTATTACATTTGACTGAAAGGAATCAATCAACGTTCCTTTTATTCAGGCCAAATAAATGTTCATCCGATATCTATCTTCCCATCCACATTTCTCTTGCGAGTAAACAACGTAGATAATATCTGTCAAAATATTTACGGGTTGGCTGGTGCGATATTCAGGCGATTTTGCACATTTAAATGATGTCGGTGTCTATCGTGACAATTTGTTGATTCTTACGGTAGTTGTGTAAGAGAGAGGGATCCTTCGAACTTTGGTTGCGGTGGGATTCCTACTGCACTTTTGCTGGTGATACTACGTTCATCGACAACTCCACACCGTCACGCCTAAACTCCCCTTACCTAAGGCGCTTTCAATACACTGGTTAGTACCACACTCTCGATCCTATCCGCGCTGCGATGCTTAGTTATTTTCACCGCCTCGCCCATCAACCGCGATGATGAGAATCGCAGTCCCCATCTTAAGACTTCTACATTCTCCAACCAACAGCGCACTGAAGATGTCTCCTCGAATGGTGACGAAACGTTTGCAAATCAATTGCCAAGCTCGGCGAACAGATCAACAGCCACCTGATCAATTACCAACCAATACACCCGAGCTACCAATATTCCAAAACATTCCAAAACATTCTCCAAATCTATTAAATGTCCTGTGTCTAACGCATGTGCCGCCAGCGCTTGGCATCCAACCAATAACCCGAGCTACCAATATTCCAAAACATTCCAAAACATTCTCCAAATCTATTAAATGTCCTGTGTCTAACGCATGTGCCGCCAGCGCTTGGCATTCACCCGAATTCCTTGGTGGTTTGTTTACCCTACTCTTATGCTCACCAATTCTGGTGTGCCGTTCTCTGACTGTCTGTCCAAGGTAAACATTAGTACAATCGTTGCGTTTAATTTTATACATACAGTCCCTATTCCTTCCAAGAGGGAGGGGATCCCTCAACTGCACCAAAACTGAGCGTAAGGTTTTTCTCTTCTGAAACGCTATTCAAGTGTTGGCTATGTTGGGCAGTCTTCGAATAACTTCCGACATTCCTGCGGAATGACTGCTGTGCCAATCCATTCCTTACTGAGTCTTGATACCGGAGCCAATACCGCCATTAAGTCGTGCCTAATCAAACTCACTGGGTATCTTATTTCTTGAAGTCTGTTAGTAATCTCGATTGGAGCTGGTATTTGGTCCATTTCTTCTGTAACTCAAACTCGACTAAACATTGACGAGACAACACTGGCTTACAGGGAATCGGGTGTGCTGATGAGTGGTTTAAAACGGTCCCTGTGTCTGTTGTTTTCTGTTGGATATTAATTTTCTGCCATTATTGTGTCATACAATCCAGGGGGTAGTGCGCCCGAGGTGAACTCTATCTCCATGCTAAAACTGGCATGAGGATTCAAACTACTGAGATATTCATAGAAGTTGTTGATCTCATCACGTTTGACTACAGCAAAGGCATCGTCAGTATAACGCCAAATAATTCCCGTAGGATGATGATACCCAGTCAAGGATATTTGCTCAAAATCCTGCGCAGAAATTTTAGCTAAAACTGGGCACATTGGAGATCTCATTGCAATACCTTGTTCTTCCGAGTAAACAGCTGTGTCAAAAACAAACTGGTCAAGATTCAAGCAAACTCTTATGCCCTTAACTATTTCATCCAGTGAAAGCTGTGTCCGTTCCTCAAATGTCGTCTCCGCCAGTAAAAGCCTCTTGGTTACCTCCAAAGCATCCATCCTGGATATGTTTGTGTACATTGAGACAACGTCAAAGCTCACGAGGACTTCGTCTATCTCCGAAGGAAATCCTGCGACTTTATTGGCAAAATCCTACGATTTCCCCATGGAAGTGCTTGATTTTCCCGTAAGAGGTTATACGATACTAGCTAAGGGTGTGCCTATCTCACGTGGTAGCAAGTCTATACCTTCTACTATTGGTCTTATCGGAGCATCTGCCTTGTTGTGAGCAAATCGTACTTTTTGGGTACAATTGATTGCACTTACTTTGCTTCATTACTTTACTTTGTTTTATTACGGACCTTAAATATCAACCTTACCCTTATTTAATTTTGAAATAATGGTACCGGTGATAATTTGTCGGTCGTGTCTAGCGGGGAGTTGCTGCTTGACCTTTTGAAGATAGTCGCCCTTGCTAATTACTACTATGGTTTGCCTTCGCTATACCAACACTACCCACCCGTTTCAGTGATCTCCGCTTTGATCGTACAGCATTGGAAGCTCCTGGTTTTTGGGAATTTATGACCATGGCCAATTGTACCCACAACTTTTCAGCTTCCGCTGAAAGGAACTTCCAAAATACCGATTTGACAATATGGGTTATTTCCTTCACTGATTACTTTTTTGCTAACAGCAAAGTTTAGTCGCGTTCCTAACAGACCACGCACGTCCTCACTTAGTTGTTTCATTTTTTCGTTAACCTTATCTGTGCACTGAGCCACGGAAAGCAGTTGTTCGAACCTACTTATCTGTCTACCCTTACGTCGCAACTCTATCATGCGTTTCACCAGTACTGAGACACATGCGCTGAGCTTCTTCATGGAGTGCAGCCCGTAGTAAAAAGGTGGGGAATGGTAACGTTGTATTTAACGTCGGATGTGGTCAGGTGTTTTTCAGCTATATAAATGATAGCGGCAAAAGTACTATACAATTGGCACTCTTGTTTGAAAGGATTGGAGGTTAGGCACAAAGTGTTCCGCAATCCACCCTCCCGGTCGCATTCTTACTCTCAGTAAACGGTCGAAACAATAACACTACATACAGAGAACTTGTAAACCTGAATAAAGGCTCGAATGCAGCCGGGAATAAGATATAAAAGCTGATGTTACGCGAGGCTCAAAGGCACACTTAAGCAGTAGAATGACTCACCGGTAATTTTCCACCCATATTTTGATTGAATTTGTAACAAAGTATAGTTCACATGGATACCCTGAGCAAATCCACCACCTTAAACAACTGGGTGCAACGGAAGTGAAAAAGGCCAAAAGGGATTTTCGCAGAACAGCAGAGCGAAATTAGTCATCGTAACGTGAAACCAGTGTGCAAGCCTGTCTCATTTCTCGCTGTCTGTACCCTAGAGAACGACCTTGGAATAATGTTTCGCTAAAGCACACTGCCTGTCTGTCTTAGAAGGTGGTCCAATAGGAGGCAATCGAATTGGCGGAAGTCGACGTATGACTTGGCACCAAAACTACCTACCCGGTTAAGGAATCGACCAGTTTCATAGAAGCAGAGCTTTCGCCTTCACAAACTGGAGTACAGAGCAAGCCCTACTGACATAAACTAGAACGTGACAAAGGGAAATTGACGTCACAGCCCTTGGTTGCTCGTAGTCCAGAAGGCTCAAAAGCTCTACATAGAGATGCAGAGTTGTAATGTGTGGCTAACTCAGCTTGCTAAGGTAATTATCCCCATAGTGAGCTTACTCATATGGAAAGATTTACGGGTCATTTTTCAGCAATCTTCTGGCAACTTGTAGGTATTTATCACACTAGGTGTTTTATTTAGTCTCTGTGCGACAGAACCACGAAGCGAATACTACGAGTGGACTAACTATTATCAAGTTTAGAATTTTTGTATCCGTGTGAACTCAAAGTGGTGAGCGAGAACGGCAACAACTAAGATAGCTGAGTAAACGACTCACGAAAGACTGATAAACACACTAATTGGAGCATTTTGGGAATGGCAGCCTAAGGTGGGTCGATTTTGTTCACATCTGAGCAGAAAGCACGAAGTCTTAGTTTGTATTTCGACCACAACTGATCACTGGTCGTTACTGATACATTTCAGTAATCCATGAGTGCTATCACTATCACCTGTAGGTTTTCTACTGTAACCGAGATTCAGCCATCCAGTATCATGCCTGCATAAAGACGGAAGTTGCACTTTCCTGTACCGTTCGTTGGACATTTATCCGGGCATTCTTTTTGGCTGAAGCACCCTAATCGCATCACTTGAGGAAACAGGTCTCCTTAGAATGCCTGTCACCCAGATACACCTAAAAGTTCACTGAACCGTGTTCTGGAAACATCACCGTTAGACTGAACTACCGATGAACCCAGAAAGCAGAGTCGTACGTTAAAGAAAGCTGTGATCATGGAATCAGAGGTATGCGGTCGGCCTAGCAAATGGAGCTTTAACCTCAGAATAAAAGTTTGGGTGGGAGTTTCCACTAATAGCTCAGCCTAATCATTAGTTGGGATTGTGTGAAACCCTAGTGTCAGTTGGAAACAATTGGGATGAAAAACATGGCAAGTAGTAGCTTATGTACGACGTATTGCCCCACTTAGTGCATGTCGCTCGCAGATGAATAGCCTGCATCCGAGGCAGGCTAGCCGATTGACCATGGTTGACCTAAGGACGTCAAAACACACAGTAGTGTTTATGCACAAAGTTGGCTCCTGGAAATAGTCAGAGGGTTCTCGGTTGGATGAGTAGTCATTCTTGAGGGGATCGATTACACTGACGGTATGAGTGCTTGTTGATACAATGATAATCCCATATGATCGTAGAATTCAACTCTGTTAAGGGTGATAGAATATTGTGGTTACGATACTAGCCTCTATTAAATTACCACACCTATCATCTGAAAGCACCACAGCCGCAAGAGCTGTGGATAACACTAAGGATAACGTCCCATAAGCTACCAAAAGGGCACCGCAGAATTGCGTTTATTCCACACCTAATGACTGATTTGTCCGTGAAGCTGGTATCTGTCTGTTGATTCCCCGTTCAAGAATAATCCAACCTGATGACGTGCATTTCGTCAGACTAGCTCACAACAGTCTGAAAGTGGAAAACTCCAGTATGCCCTCATGGACGTAAATCTGCAAGGCATCCCCTTTTCACATGACTATACAACAATTCAAGTTTGACCATGGTACGTTGTAACCTACCCTGAAAACCAAGCTCATCTTCGTGCTTCAATTGATATTGTGAAGCTCTCACTGTCTGTGTCAGTAGGGTTATGATACTTAAAAAAAATCATTTTATCGAGTTTGGGTTAACTTTCGGTTGGGCCATCTGATACTAGTGCTGTGTACGTATAGAATATCGAATGAATCTTCTACAGGGTACTCGCAGACGAGCCTTGCTACTGATCGTGATGAATGTCCATAGGCGGCTGGGGTTGTTTTTGGAACAGACTCATTCCACCTCGGAAGAAAGTGGACGTAAAGTCAGCAACCTCTCCTGTGCAACCCCCCTCGTAGTTGCTGCATTCTGTTACGCAACGCTAAGTAATTTGTATACTTCAACCCATAAAACTTTAACAGGCCTGGACCACCTGAATTAGGATATGCACACCGAGGTGCATACTTGCATTCTTTGTTTTGAGTGTAATCTTTTCTGATTGTAATTCTCTTCATTGAACTCCGCCCCCAGACTGAATGGTTTGTGGAAAGACCGATTCAGTCCTGAGCATGGAACGACACAACGGATACGCCTTATGCTATTAATTCAGATTTGTTGACCGACCATCGATTGAAAGGGTTGCCTTCAAGATCTCCGCTGACACACTGTCAGCGAGACCTAGTGTGTGTGCATAAAGTACGCACAAGGCGCAGAATACGCCCGAGGTTAGAATTCCGTGGGGTGTACTTGAACGGCGAATGTACAGAATTTTATACCACAACCAATTCGGTGGTTGATCTGAGGCAGAAATGAAGAAACGTTCCTCAAAATGCCATCCAAACACTAATTACAAGGTAACAAAGTGCTTTATGGGGGGTTGCGATGTGAAATGGCTGCGATAACGTTTCTCGAAAAGATGGCACAAAGGAGTAGTCCTATAAATTTGTTGCTCCCATTTTTCACTTTCTACAGTGTTCTACTAAATGCTGAGTTTGATTTCCAATGGAATCTGTCACCTGCTGAAAAATTCCTTCAGTTCTAGTGCTGTCATGGCGTGAAGAACAGGTGGTTCCACATTTTTTTCACAGCACGTAAGCTTCACAAAACGAAGTGTCCTGAGGTGGCAACTTCGGCTAGTATAGGCATCTAAATCCCCAGATATAATCGAGTAGCCATTATGCGATAAAATTCCTGGCAGGATGCCTGTAATGGATGGAACCGAATTCACATCACGCGAAAGTATTTTATTTTAGCACGATTAAGTCAGAAGGCTTGCGAGTACAGGAAATTCAGAAGTTATTTAAGCCATATCACAGCTGTCAATGGACACCCTTGAAAAAGTTGGCATCGCAGAATTTTTTGCCCAGGTTTTGTAATTCAAATATATCACATTCTCAGCGTAGTCCGGGAAATCAGTCACAACATAGTCCATCAGAGTGATATTAAGCCCATGTGGACCAGCGAGTCGGTCCGGAGCTTGGATCCATCGACTGAACTCCGCACCAGCCCGTTTCGCCAACTGTCTCAGAGAGCCAGTAAGATTACGAAGGATGTAGTCCGGTGTGGGAGTGAGAACACCTTGATAAACGTAGAAGTTGTTCGGGTTTTGAACGAACTGTGGTCTGAAATTGGGGGAAAAACAAGAGGGGTTTTGAACTCAGCATCAATGGAAACACACTGCACAACTACATTTGGGTTTCCACTCATACGTCCCAAAAACGGTCACCGTAATCTCGATCGGCTCAGGAGTAAAAACGAAACCCGACAGTCAATTGCACAAGTGGTGTAGAGCACATTTTTGCCCTGAGTTTGAAAATGAATTGGACAACCAATAGTGAATTGGCGTCCGTATTATATCGGAACTGGAGGACCAGTATATTGGAATGGGTAAAGTTTGGAGATAAAGCATTTGAAATTTGTAAAATAGAGTCGGGTCACAAAAGATATAGACAAGGGAGCCCTTATTTGAGTCCATCGGTCACCACTAACAAGATCAGAGCAGAAAAACAAACGCTGTAAGACTATGCAAGTTCACAAACCTAGACGAAGTTTGCATGGTAACTGAAAAGATCATAGTGAAAGCATGGAAATGAAAAAGGCTGGAGTATTAAAAAACGGATAGATCGTGCGGGATAGTACCATTTCACACACTTTTGGACCACAGTGCACAGGTGACGGACAAATGGACGTACAAATCTACTTTTTTAAAAACTGACGCTTCGTACTGACGTCAGGTAAATCACGATTACATCAACGGTCACGTTTGTTCCTAACCTTGCCTCGTGGACTATGGCAGTGGAAGCACACAAACACACACGGCTATTAGAAAGCAAGATGTGCAAACGTTGAATGTTACCTGCTATTCTTATCCTCCCACATTGTTGTGATCTAAAGGATCCTATTTAACAGAGGAACATCAGTCCAGTAGTAGGCAGGCCTATCGCGAAATTTCGTCACCCCGCAGTGATGCGTTCCTGTCCACAGTGTGTCGCACATGGTGAACACTACTTATCGTGCGTGCTCCCACCCTCACCTTCTCATCATGACATCACATTAATCTGACGTTTATGGACATATAACCACCATAGGAATATTGTTGGATACAGATTTGATTGCACGGTATAACAGCTTGAATTGTGTGCCTACAAGATTGTGAAGCACCAGACTACCTAGTTTTTACATTCGCATCTAGGTAGTGACGGACTAAGTCTACTACACGTATTCCTAATTAGGCGGTCAAAGTCTCTGTCCAACTTAATTTGATTGGTTGTTTGCTCTGATAAGACGAACCAATTAGTGTTTTGCTAGGCAATCCTAACTCGTAATCATAGCACACATTGGCATGACTGGTTACTATAATTACCACCAAGGATAGGAATAATACTGAAGAGGGCCAAACCAAGAAGCCAGTCCGATAGTGGTTCGGTATCAGTAGTACCGTATAAGTGGCCGCGCCCAGGTAAGACACTGGGGACTGAGGCGCTCTCATCTAGTCCCTTCCAGTTAGACATCAATGTGAAAGTGCTGTTGTTAGTTGCATCATCTACATAGCAAGTACAGAAGCCACAGTTAAGATTCGACTCGTTTGCATTATCTCACGAGTGGACAAGAAATACACGCTGAAACTAAAACATTAGGGTCTGTCCGTGCGAGAGAAGCTACCTAGTGAAAAGCTGCACAATTTGGTTTTCAGTGATGATCCGTGGTTTTTCTCTCTCGAAAGACTATTGAACACTACACTGGGAATGTCACCAAAGTTCTACCAATGTTACTTGATACCTGACGTGATTACACTCAGTTATACTTCCGTTATTTTCGCAGACAATTCTGTACTGACCCAACACTACCTATCAGGTTCCTGAAAACTGTCTGACAGCCCACTACCGGTTTTACCTTTTCTGGGGCTCATCAGGTAGATGTAGTTCTTGGAATTCGGTCAATCTTGGTTCATCAAACGACATTAAATTGTACGTAAGTACAGTCACACTCATTTTCAAACTGGCGTTAAAGTGAGAATCAACGGAATATCATCCGAGTTTCTCGTCTAGAATAATCTTCAACTGAAGGTACTGCATAAAAGTCGCCTCGTGCTTCAGTTGGTAAGGCATGGGAATATTGTTCTCCATCGTACACTACCTACAGGGATGATTCATCTGATACTTTCTTGAATTTTCCATCAACACCAGAACAAGTTGCAAATAACTGTATAAATACCTACCGTATATTTTCCTTGATGTCTCCTCTACAAGAGAAGTGCGAAAGAACGCTACGGCCGGAAGTTACAGGGCTTTCACGAAGAGTGCGCATTTAGGATGTGCCATATTCGAGGGAACACCATATAGATGTGTGACCTTGGATGTTTTCGTATGCTGGTATTAGGCTCGCCCACTGCACAATAAAAGGCAAACATCAGACAGCCCTATGAAAACTGTATGGGGAATCTGTGGTTCAGTTAACAAATGGGTGTTTGTGGCTGCAGGCTAAGCAGATCTCACCGTCACACGGAGCTGCACTTTGGTAACGAATTCAACTTTCCTGACTTGTCGCAAGGTGTCACTGAGCATGCATAAAGCAGATAGGTTATATTAACGATCAGAAAGCTTCTAAAGTGGGTGGTTGAAAAGTTGTGTTACACAAACCATTAAAGTACCATTTAGACAAATCAAAGACAGAGAAAATATTCGTAACAGATAGGAAGAGGAGTTTTCTATAGAATTTATCGGAAAAGAGCATACTTATTTTAATACTTAATGCATCAGTAAAGTCTGCAGTTGCCAATGAACGCATTGACTTGAACGAAGACAATCATGACGAATCAGCTGTGTAATACTGCGTTGATTCGGATCGCGAATCAGAGCAGAATATTCACGGCATTTAGAAAGACGCTGTCTCAACCAGTTGCTTTGAGAAGTGGTCCGAATCATTTCTTAAGCTACTTTCTAAGTTACCAGACGGAAGGATCCTTACCTGACTGGATACCCATTGATAATCGCCTCTGTGTGGCCCGTGTGAAAACATCCGTGAAAGAGTCTCACTAGCAGGGATCTGGTCACTTGCTGTGTCCTGTGTGCTTGCGCTCCGACAGGCTGTAGTTCCAAAACGACCAAAGACAATTTTTGTTTGTCGATACCTTCTTGTGGCGGGCTAAAAGCTCAAATATCGTTGTTGTCGCCTGGAGAGTCTGAGTTCAAAGGTAGGTAGTTTTAGCGCATCTCAGGCTCATTTGGGTAATCGACTTGGATTGGACTCGGTAAGCACAGACACTGGGGAACGAACGCTGCAGCTGTGCTGACCATGGACCGTTTTATGCAGCACTAACTTCCGAAATAACCGAAGTCGTATGGCCGCATGGTGCCCTCCACCAACTCTGCGGTGTCAACCGCAAACCTAGAATGACCAAATCGCTATCAGCTACTGACAGTGCGGATCAGTAACTGAATGACACATTTGTGTTCGACCGGAGAGGCCTCTCCATTCGTTTCCCATAGTCGAATAAGGTGCGGACAAGTGGCTTAGCAACTGGGAGGCTGACAGATCCAAAAGTTAGATTAGGCTTTTTGGACTCTCTTCCAACCGCCCCACCGTCATATGTGGATAGTGCTGCACAGTACCGCCCGGCGCTAACAGGTCCACTCGAACACTGGATATCAAAAGGAGTAGTGGAACTGCTTGAATCTCTGGGAAATGTTCTCGCTGATCCCAAACAGGATTCAGCCCGACGGATTGAACAGTATTCAGTTCGACGTTCACTGAAACTCGGTATACACAGAAAGCTGAGGAAATGAAACAGATCAACAGAGCCGGGAATGACCAGAAATTTCAGATGACCGGGGATGTCCCGAGAGCCTCTGTGAACGAAACCGTCAAAAATTAAAAGGGGGCGCGACAATCTTGAATAAAGGAAACCTTGATTGATGGGTCAAGGGTTTCGAAAAATAATCCTCGTACCTACCAGATACCACTTGCTTAGATCCTACAACTGAATGAGAGCCCTGGAAGATGGACCTGGAACCCCGTATGGCATCGGAGGTTCATGACTGTAAGGACTTCCAAGCTGCTGGTCCGGATGACCTGCCACCTGCACTGTTCCTCAGTCAGCGCTTGCCTGATCTATTAACGTGCATCTGGGAAAGAAAACTGTCCCAGACAACTAAAGAGAAGTGATCACAGTGTCCATTTTCAGAAAGGGGCTCATAGTGAGCACGGTTATCACAGGTGGATAAGCTTGACTCAAGGCGTAACAAGACTGTTGGTGTCACTAGTCCCTTGTCGCCTTAAAGTGGCTCGTTGAGCACTGATTCGAGAGCAGCAAGCGAGATTCCGGACTGATAGGGGTTCTGTTGGCCAAACATTCACACTCCGTCAGGTCTTTAAGCGCCATACGTATAAACGACCCAAAGTATTACTATTCCTGGCCCATTCGGCTCAGTTAGTCGGTATGTTCACGCTTACTCAGCAAGGAGTGCCCCGGAAGTTTGCGAACATAGTAGGTTCTTTGTATTTTCAGAATTCCCGGCGTGTATGACCATAACAGGAGAGTCCTCAAAAATCTTACGTACAGAAAGTGGTGTGCATCAATGACGTCCACTCTCTCCACTCCTATATTAATGATACCAGACGAAAAATTGAAGGCCTTCAAAACCCTAGTGTTCCAATAGCTGCTGACGAAAACCTTGTCAACCTGGGATATGCAGGTGACTTCATTTCAACCTTTGGAGATGAGTTGAAGACACGTGTTTTTGGATGGAGTGACCGAATTCATCTTGTCTTTCGGCATGTGCTTTGCACTCACAAAGCCTAAGACCGTGCTTATGGACACAATCACTGAACGCGTTACGTCACGGTCCTTAGTAATGTTGATATTTCGTAGCAATATAATGTATTCTTATCAACAGGTAACCTGATCTCGATATTTCCAATGAAACAACTCACAACCACTTTTGAGGGTGTCTTGATAAACCTGAGAGATGCAATGTCTCCAACCAGGCGCAGTGGGGATCACGCGGCCCCATCCTGGTAGGAGAGTAGTACCGACAGCATCAAAACCTTTCGTGATCTTGGTCATACCCCTCTGCCAGGTCAAAGATTGGTCACCTCTCTGAGTTGGGCATGGAAAACAGTACGCTCTTCAGAAAACGAAAAAGCCCGCACTGTGTAGCTTGATACATCCGTCCCTTGAGATTCAGGGATAAACCATTCTGACGCTGTAGGTGTCTCAAATTATCAAACGCGACCCGAGCCTTGCAGATTCGTGCATTGACCTCATCTGTCACACTAAAATCAGGACTAATACAACTTACAAGATATGTAAAACACTCCACAAATTTCAGTACCTCTCCATGGATTGTAAAAGGCGTGTTAAGTGACTGCATGTCCAGTAACATGACATGGGTGCAAGGTGTATACCAAAGGACGTGGTGACTTTAATCAGTTCATCCAAAAGCACCCGCGCCTTCTCCTCCTTAAAGACGAGAACGATGTCATCTGCATATTTCAGACCGAAAAGGTTTTCGTCACAGGCTATTTGAACCCTAGGGTTTGGGAAACCTCTCAGCGTTTGTCTCACGATTACATCGATCGCGAAGATAAATAGGGATGGAGAGAGTGGACATCCCTGAAGGGCATTGCTCTGTGTACGGAAGCTTTTGGAGAGTTCGCCGTATACTCTCACGTCCGGGAGTCCGAAAATACAAAGAAATTATTATATTCACGAGCTTGTGGGGCATTCCTTGATGGGCGAGAGCATCAAGAACACACCGGTAAACCGAGTCGAATGCGCTTTGGAAATCTAGGAAGACTACAACTGTGGGTCGCTTATTCGTATGGCGTTCTTTTAAAAAAAAATCGTTCAGCTGTAGCACCCTTTCGGTGCCTAGCTGCCATGCCACCCGAAGGAAGCACGAGGGCTGGGATACTGCCAGGTTGCCCAAGCCTAGACAGGGGAAGTCGAGAGGCAGAGGTCGGGTTCCAACCACGGACATTCCGGTCAGTAAATTCGCGCACTAACCACTTGGGCCATCTCGCCCGTCACGGATTACGAAGAATTGGTCAACGCAACCCCTATCAGGCCGAGATCCCGCTTGTTGCTCTCGAGTCAGTGTCTCGCGAGCCACCGTAAGGAGAAGAAACACAAATGACACTAACAGTCTCGTTACGGCCGGGGCCAAACTGATCCCATGTGGCTACCACACACTACGAGCCCGCTTTTGAAACTTGGCAATACAACCGACTCAACCCAGTTGTCTGGGAGAGATTCCTTTTCCCAAATGCAAGCAAACAGATCAGACAAGCGTCGACGGAGGAATTCACCCTCATCTTTGAACAACGAGGATGGGAGGACATCCGGACCAGAAACTCGGCAGCGCTTGAGAGGTCATATGCAGTGGTAAACCTCCGAGGCCGTAGGTGGTTCCACGTTCACCGTCCAATGTTCTACGTCAACTGTGGGCTCCGGATGAGTGGCATTTAGTGGCCACAACAATTATTGATCGAAGCATTCAGGCCAACAGCCGTGACATTCTTCCTTACTTAAGTTGGTTATACCTTTCCAATCCTTGATGGTTTCGCTCAAATTTGGTTTCCGGAGTCAAGTCGCAAAGGATCAACTGAAATAATCTCCGCACGGAACCGGCCTCCTGGGCCTGTTCCAACCTCTCAGTTTTCGGTCCACCACACCTCACGGTCGGCTCACACGCTCCCTTTCACTAGAGGTTTGATGATTCGCCGCATCAAGTTGTGTCGGGGACCGGCTGAGATATTTCTCCGAGATTTAAGCAGCGAGACCGTTCGGTTCGATATCCAGTACTCGAATGCGCCTGGTGGTGCCGCGCCACAGGTAAAATTCCCAGCACTATACAAAGATGTGGCATGGTGGTATGAACACACATCTGGTGGTGGAACATTTGGAAGACTCCAGAAGACGATCATGGTAAATTCGTCTAACATCCGGATCTGACAGTCTCCCAGTTACCAAGCGGTTTGTCCGCATTTTACGTGACCCTGGAAAGCGTAGGGGAAACGACTCCGAACGAGTGCGTGGTCAGAATCCACAAATGTGATCAAAAACGACCGGCGTTCAGTTATTGATCCACACCATCGGTAACATGGCACTGTGATCGATTTGAGTTCGTGGCCGTTATGCCGTTGCAGGACACCATGCGGCCAGACGATTTCGGCTATTTCGGAAGTTAGTACTGTATAAAAGCAGCCTGCAATCAGCACACAGCTGAAGCAACCGTTCACCATTTTCTGTACGTACTGAATCCAAACCACGTGCACCTTCTGATTGAGTGTCAGATACACTAATCCTGCCCACTTGTGCACTCAGATCTTCGGCTACCACTACCAAATTTGAGCTTTTACCTCACCGCAACAGGGCATCCAAGACGCGGTAAAACCTGCCTTTGACGGCGTCGGAGCTACAGGCGGTTGGGGCGTAAGCCGACAGGATAAAGAGACATCGACCAACTTCCCGCTGATACTCCTCCAAAGACGTTGCCAGACAGACCGCACAGAAGCAACTATCAACAGGTATCCAGTCAAGCAAGTATCCTTCCGCCCGACAACTTAGGGCGATACCAACCCCTGCACATTCGGCCGCAGCAGCCCCTGGATCACCACCGGTACGTAGCCGGAAGCGAATGGAGAGTGGTGAGGCGGTTAGCTCAACCACTGTGCTAGCACCTTGAATTCCTGTTTCAGAGACGCAACACACATTACTATCAAGCGAGTGCAGTGTGAGAGAAGGAGCAGCTTGTTGTCCTGATTGCTTCAGAGTGCGAATATTGAAGGCGGCCAGACAGACCTGAACGTAGGCTTGAAGATTGATTTCGAGATACATGAAGATGTCGCCATGTTATGAGCAGATGTTGCACGCAAAACCGATGCAAGACGAACGGAGTCATCAGTCTCAAGTGCTGGGCCTGTATGTAGAGAGGCATTGATGGGGTGGGGAGAAGGGGGAAGAACTATGCGAAAGAGAAAGAAGGGAGACGTCAGCAGTAGCAGTCAAGGTAAAATAATGCCAGATAGTGTCTGAAATACCACGATACGTTCAGCGCGACATTCTTGCGCACTTTTTGAAGTGGAATCACCAGCCAGGCCTAGAATAGAGCACCAGTTGTCCATTCCACTAGCACCCTGTTTTCGTCCCAAATCTTCCGTAGTACGGTTGTCAGACTTCTCACCGAGGCTCCACCACCCTTGGAAGGTGCAGACCATTCACGTCAGGTGCCTTGTCGCCTTGGAGGAGTGATATCTCACGCAGGAGTTCTATTGTTGACCTCGGGCTTGTGTCGATGTTCTCTCCCGGCTCTTTAGGCTCCTCCAGAGAGGGTGTTGAAGGTGGCCGGCTGAACCATGCTTTAAAGTGTCCAGCCCATCGCTCAAGATGACTTTATAAGGAATTACCGTTCCGTCCTCCTCGCATATTGTTTCGCTGACACTTGTTTTGTCTTGGTCAGTTTGTTGAACCAACTACTGTTATCTGCAATGAAAGCTTTTTCCATCTCCTGGGACTTCACGATCCACCAGTGTTCTGGTGTTCTTCAAGCTCATGATTATCCGGTGTTTTGGAAATCTGTGTGCCACTGCTAGTCGTAGTGACCGTCACGAAGAGACTGGACCTTACCGTGGTGTGACGGTTTGCGCACCTCAGCGGCCCATTGACCTATAGTAAGGGTTGTCCCCGCGACACTCACAGGGTCTCTCATACCGGGTTGGTCAATGGTTAGAGTTCTGACGAACACAGAATCCTGGTTGGAGTTGGGCTTTTTGTCCCATGAGTCTCCTCCAAATGCTTCACCATCAGATGTGAACGCATACTGTAGCGACCGAGTCACCCATATACTTGACTGTTCAACTCAAAGTCGCTCACTGGATCGCGAGGCTTGTCTATTTTCTCATACGCACAAACACGTCGCATTAAGCTGACACATCGGACATCGATTGTCTGCACCGCCTAGTCAGCGTAGCAACCACTCATGTGCCGACGCGCCCACATACACGCACTGGGACCTACATAAAGGCAAACCGAACCCAGTCAAGACACACAGACTCGCGCGCGCGCAGGGAGCAGGACGTAAACCTCTCCACAAGTCCACGGACAATCATGGAACACGTGTAGCAGCCAAACTGCGGAGAAAACACGTTACCGCCGTCCGGACTTTCACCAAGAAACTCTCACATACGATAAGTTCCTTTTTGACTTGCTCCCATTTCGCATTGTATTCATTTTTATACGTGTCGCAACCATGTTAAAAACTTCTATTAGTGCACATTCACCTTCTGATTTGTATTATGACTATCATCACCTGTGCACTAATAATACCACCATGCCACATCTTTGTATAGTGCTGGGAATTTGGCCTGTGGCACGGTGTCACCAGGCGTACTCAAGTACTCGATATCAGATCGAACGGTAGCGCTGCTTAAACCTCAAGGAAATATCTCAGCCAGTCACCAACATAACTTGAAGCGACGAATCAGCAGACGTTAAGTGAAAGTGAGCGTGCGAACAGACCGTGAAATGTGGTAGACACGGACTAGCCAACGCCTACCAAAATCCAGATCGGACTTTGCAAAGAACGGAGAAAATTTCGCAGAAAACCATAGGGAAGCAGCACCTACCCGTAGTGCTTGTCGAGAAACTGAAGCATTTCCTCCACGTGAACGGTATTGGGCCACAATGAAACCATACGTCGTCCAGGCCAAAATTTCCCACTCCCCATGCAGTGCAAGCAAGAGAAAAACAAAACCTGTTTTCCAGATTTCCATAACTGCTCCAAGGTGGGTACGGTATCTTGAACAGGATAAAGATATTGGCCAAGAACCTGCATTGGGAGATAAAAAGAGCTTCGGTTTCGAGTGAAAAGGCTTCAACTTTCACTAAACGTGCTTCTCAAGAATAATAGTAGTTGATGCAATTATCCAGTCCAATATTTAGGAAAGCCTCACCGAACATAATTTCCGTAGTCCCACAAAGCTGAGACTCCGTCGTCCTACGACCCTGATGCAGAAATGTTCAAAAACTACAAGTACATTAATGACCTTTTTAGCAAATAGCAGAAACTCAGAAGTGAAATAATAGGTTGTTTAAATAGAAGCTGATTCGTGTGTTGGATCTGTAACTGGACAGAATCACTACTGAGAAGGAAGATAGCAACGACGGAAGCGAACCGTATCAACCAACCATTCTGTTCCGGTCTATCACCCCTTGAGTTCAACAGGTCCTGACAAAGACGAAAGTATGGATAGGATATTAAGCGCTAGAGAGATCGCAACAAAGGCAGTCTCGCCCACTCAAGGTAAGCATCGCTTAACGGCAGGAACATTCGATGTAAACAACCACAATGCCTTCACCAGTAAAGAAACCAGCATATCGGCAATCAAATCACTTACATCAAGTACGGCATCCTCAAAAGCCGTCAAGTGCTTATCTGTCTCGAATTCGTAGCAGTGGTTGCAATCCAATAAAAGTATTTCTTGTGGATGTTCACGCAGGAACTCGGCCACTGGTCGCAGTGCATCCACCATTGGACAAACATACTGACCATGGACAAGGTAGAATACATCACCTTTATTCCTAACAAAACGCACAGCAACACGCAAATCCAAGTAGCGAATCCCGGCACGGAGCTGATCAATCATGTTCAATCGTTGAGTGGTGGTCCATGGACGTAGCATTGGACCAGCAATGTTCTGAGGCAGGTTACGTACCACACTGTAAACATCGCCATCCGGTGAGGGTACGGAGTCATTGGTGATAGCAGAGGTGAACGAGTCATGGCTACCTAGATGAGGTAAGATAAGGACAGATTATTATTTGTGTCTTCTCACATATAGTCCTCACGTCGTACGAAATTGTTGCCTTAAGTAAAAAATGAATGTGGTTTATACAGCTCCCGGCTAGATAGTGTGATGTCTCAGTGGTTAGAGCACGAATGTACTGACTAAAAGGTCCGTGGTTCGAACCAAACCTCTCTATCTCGACTTCTCCTGTCTAGGCTTGGGAAACCTGGCAGTATCCCGGCCCTCGTGCTTCCTTCGGGTGGCATGGCAGTTAGACAACGAAAGGGTATTACAGCTGAACGACTTTTCACAGCGGGGGTTAAATGGGCACAGACAGGAGAACCAATGGAGTAGATGAGTCCACTGAGTATGATGAGGGATCGGTTGCTACGGCAAGAACTGTCTTGCGGTGAGCCACCGTGGCGGTACGTGATTCGGGTAGGAAATAAACAAAGCTTAATAAAGAGCCGAAATCTTGATGGTCGGCTGCTTCAGTGGGCAGTGGAAAAGTCATCCAGCCGGAGATATGGATATTTAAATCACCTGAGGATACAAAGTTCAACAAAGCTCGACGGTGGGGTCGGATTGTGACTATGCCAGTGGTCGACACCCAACAGATAAAAAGGCTGCTATTGATACGAAGGAAAGATGTGGAGAGGAAAACAAGTGCAGGCGCAAAAAAGGAAGCAAAGGTGTAAAGAATGACCAATAAATTGGAGATCTGCATGATCATTGCTGCCTGATTTTTGTCTCAGCGAGGACGGGAAAAGATGAGGTCGAAGACAACGGTGATCAACGAGGTTGACGTTACTGAAGAGCGAGGCTGATCGTTATTAGTTCCCTGGAAGACAGTGACCCACTCGCTATCAGCTTAAATAAAGTGCAGAAGGAAATGTTACCTGGAATAGCCAGCCGATTGAGAGGTTGCAGGGTAACTTCGCTAGGCAGATTAGTCATCCATTCGCTGAGCGACTGAGACTAAAATGGTTAGATGAGAGAAGAGATAGAGCTGGGATTAAGATGCTGCTGTGACTGTGATTAGCGATAGCAGAACGACCATAGTTCACCACAAAACGGGGTCCACAAGATGCGTAACTAGAATCAAACCAGTAAACACGTAGAGCTGGGAAGCCAGAAAAGTGGGAGCAAATTTAAGGTTAAGGAACGGTTTACTTGGGTTGCCTTCTCAATGCACAACTGTAGCACAGCCAACAATCCAAGACCGTAAATACTAGCAAGAATCTCAGGAAATGTTCTAAACTCATTCAACGTTCCATCTTGGTAAAAACCTCCGAGCCCACACCAACCCATAATTGTCTATAAGATCCCCAACAATAATTGGGTAATGGGAAAAGGAGGAAAGTCCTTCACTGCGAAGTCCTTTATTAGCAAATATGAACTAAACAGTTACAAATCATTAGACGAGAGAGTAAACATCTCATATGCACATATTCTTTAAAAACTGGACGTTCTCACAGCCATCTTAAACTTTCCTGGATATTCATTGATTATTACACAATGGTAAGCGAACACTGCAGAGCAGTTCCACAATTTCCATAATAAACTTAACCTTTCATCAGATGCGGGGGCGACGCTTGGGCACCAAACCACAGACTACTCGCATATCTCATCAGTAGCACACACCATTACACTAGTAGCGAGGGCCATGATCAGAGCAAAACACGGCCGATCCTCTTGCATCTAATCATGAACAAATGCGAGATGGGTTGTTCCTGTGTAATCAGACACATCAAACGAATGCGTGAACACTTAGCTTTTCAGTTACTTGCTGTAGATTTCGTTTACGACGGAGATAATTTCCTCTCAAGATTCGAAGAACAGAAATACCGAAGAGCTACGCGGTGCACGTCACCATTGGAACAAAGCATTGCTCACAAAACGGTAGAGTAAAGTAAACGCCTAACCCGAGGTAGAGTCTATACCATCCCCTTGACGAAAAGATACGTAGTTGGTTCCTTGATGCGCATAAGATGAACATCGTCGCGAAAAAGAAGAAAGCAATCGGTGATTGACTAAAAGCGGAGATGCTTAGAACAGTACTTAGTGCCCACTACTTGTATCCATCAGAAAGAGGGCGGAATATCGTTGTACGATGTTGAATGGGACTGTAATAGATTCATAGAAAGAGGTGTACATTACAGCTTTCGGATGCATAGAGTCAGGCGGACACTCAGGTAACTTTCGACCTTGGTAAACAGTTCCTTTGTTCAATTTTCTACTAAACAGACATTTTATCCTCCAACGATGAGCATCGTAAGTCAAGAAAGTTATGCGCTTGACACTATTACTTTGTGACGGCAATTAGGGAAACCGGCACCACTGTGACGAGATGTGAAAGCACATGCTCTCTTAAAAATTAAGAGAAAGGAAAAGGTTGCGTGATAACATAGACACTTGAGCACATGCTCAGGATGTAGGTATACAGCTGTTGGAAAACTGCAACATTCTGAGTTACTGTTCCCCATGAACAATACCAGGTCTAAACTGCTGATACAATCCAAACGACTAAAGTGAAGTGCAAAAACAGCCTACAGAGGAATTCGCGCAAACTCGTGGATGTTCAAGCAAACACTAGCTACAGACGAACAAACGTGAGGTGGTTCCAGCAACCCCAGTTCTTCAGTCACGAACTAAGACGGGATGCATAGTTCGAAATACATTTTACTTAATCCACCACCGAGTGAGATAACTTTGTCAAGTTACTCCGACTCCTATATGACACCAGCGTTCTGTAAACAGTAAAACACACTGCTTTTCTCGCCGAAAATGTAACCACTGCGCGCAGATAATATAGGAAGGATCGGTGCGCCCGCACACAACATTTCGAAGTAGTGCATGAGTCTGATAGAAACATCAGAGCGGTGCTTGATATTTTTCATTAAAAACAACTCCATCGCGATAAGTTACTGCGTTAAATACCGTGATAATGTTAGTTAGACAACGCGGCTCTCAAGTCGATTACCCGCTGACCCTGAACAATTTTCACCGGTTCATGTAATGAATATAACCGGTCAAAAAGATGGTGGGATCACGTTTAGATGGTGAAAGCCGGCCTTGTGGTTAGGAACTGCGATACGTGACAACTCAGTTGTTAGAGCCATAATATGGAAGTGCAGCCGAAGATGCACCTGAACTGTGACACCACTCTATACAAAAATGGGTCCAGCAGGTAAACGCATATCTAAAAAGAACACACACAGATAGGAAAATTGGCATTACGTAACAAAGACGATTATAACTCACCGATGATCCTTCAACCATTTCTTAATCTGGATCGTAGAGAAATTCTTCCCGCTGGATTGAATGAACAGCTGTCTCACCAGCAGATCAAGCAGTTAAGGCTACAGGCTTCCACTTACTAGTTTTAACCGAAAGACTCGATTGTAGGTTGTTCAGATGATGCAAAACATAGTTACGCTGTAACAGAATAATAAGAGTGTATAAGATCCATGTCTAAAAGCCTGAATATCAAGAGTTCAGAAGTGCCACCTTCATGCTGCTCGCGGTTGTGACAGACCCTCCCGGCAACCGACTAAAGAAAACGATAGCCCACAGAGAGATTTTTTCCAAATTCACTTCAAAATACGAACTCAGATATTAATGATGCCCATTATTTGGTGAACAGCATCTATAAACCATAAAATACAAGCACAGTGGATTTAAAGAAGCATTTTCACCGGGCGATGAACGAAAACCAAGAAATTTAGTCCGCTGCACTGGTAAGGAACGTAACGTGTTTCGCATTACACGTTCTCGCCTAAACTGATGGTGGCAGACTCCGCCTGAACTAGAGTGAAAATGGCACGAACGAAGGTATGTACAGAATCAAGTGAGATCATGCGTGTTGACATCGGGAAAACTCGGTGGTCAGGTCGCAACAAGACAGTTCGAAAATCGGCTGGTAAGTACTACTCAGAATCCCTAATTGGATAAAGGCAGTACGGCGAATCAAGGTCCAAAGGACTGGGACAACCGAAGTCTAGAATCGGATGTGGCAATGCGTGTCCAGCGGGCCGCCACGAGAATGGTTGCCGGCCTCAAATCCGTGGACTACGAAACGCGTCTCACGATGCTTGATCTCTTTCCCCTGGAGTACCGTCGCCTCCGAGGGGACCTAATTCTTACTTACGCCCTGTTTGAACAAAGCTTGGCAAACAGGTTTTTTACCGTTGACCCAGCAAACACGCGGCGAGGACATAGTAAGAAAATCTTCAAGCTCAGGGCACACACATTCATTAGACAAAACTTTTTTTCATTTCGGGTAGTAGCTGCGTGGAATGACCTTCCGCTGACGGTTGTACACGCTCCTTCTCGAACCCAATTTAAAGCACTATTAGACATTTATTTATGCGAATCCTCGCGCTGGCGAGCATACTGCCCCGCGCTGAGAACATAAAGAGCAGTGCTACACCCTTTTTTCACTTGCGCCTTTCAGGTGAATGACAGCCACTGACCGACAAGAACAAAACCGACCCGGGAAACTTGGGCGAAAGCCTCGATTCTGTGTATCAATCCGTGAATCCGTGAATGCCTGGTGGAATGTCAGCCTGTTAGCATCTATAGACGCAGGCTCCTAGTGACTATGGGAAAAATAGCAGAGAAGGTAGAAAGCTTCGCCCAGTGATTAGCGTGAGCAGTCAGTCATGCCGGCACAGCTCGATGAGAGGAATTGAGAAGCAAACATGAGGTATGGTCACATGGGCTTAGGTTTCCGACGTCAAGTGATGCCCCATACACTACCTTCGGAAATGTCAAATGAATGGTAAAATGAGTATATCGATGGAAACGTAGGCCAAGCTAGCTGGCAGAATATTATTCGCACCGTTTGCGTAGCGCGGACTGCAGCATCTCACCCCTAGGCAAGGTAAGAGGAAATAGAAATGGTAGCACTTAACCTGGATCTTTGACAGGTTGGTGTTTACACATACCAAAAAATGGAATCGCCACTATAAGTTATCAAGCTGTCAAAACAGACTGAAAAGGGTGCACACCGTGATGCAAAAGAGGAAAAGCACGAAAAATCGCACGCACTAAACACAATACCAACGCAATCCGCGAGTCGCAGGGGTTGAGGAGCCCGCAGCCGCACAGATCTAATTTGGTGAGATGTGGGGATTCGGTGGGTGTAGAACAAAACGGGAATGGACAAACGTCCGGAGGCAGGCCGCCCTTATTAACCGAAGAGCATGTCAACTGGACGGATGTGTAACGTGCAGGCTACGGACCAAACGAGGGCATGCCCTGATTGATCGGAATTCCAGCCAATCTGGATTAAGAATCCTCAGCTCGGTGCTTCTCACCACCTCACGGAAATTCTAGCACGACCTTGTGAAACATTCCGTAATAACTTCATAAACACACTTTTAATAACCCTTCCTTACAGGGTTGTCTGAAGCTGCCATATCTTTTTATATACCACATTGGGCGGAGCACGACCGTTCAGCAAGTCACAACCAGAAATGACTAGAATTTACTATTCGGAACAACTGCAGAATTGCTTATCAAAATGTTGATTTGAGCCAACCAACTGGAATGGCATCGTGTTTGCTTCCTCCGCCAATGACAAACGTCCCATCAGAGCGCCCAACTGCGGGACACCGTCCAATTCACGGAGATTGGATGGGTTCGCAAAGGTACATGGGTAACCGGAGTGTAAGTCATAGGAGAGGTAGAAAGCACTGCTTGCCCCCTGAGCTGGTGCCTACTTTGGTTGCTTGATGTGACCAGGTACACTATTAATATAACTGCTACTTTACAAACGACTAAACGGCCCAGGCGCTACCAGGTCACCCACGAGACGAAGAAGACAGCCATGACCCGGCTCACCTCCTCAGAGTTCCGGATTATCGGTAGGATTACTAACAAAAACATTCATTCACGATGGATCGCTCTGTGCACGCAGCAGACCAAGCTATATTAGCAGCAACATCGGTGTTGAGACTGATGCACTGTGGGTCCAAAGCCCGCTCCGCGGGTCCGATTCTCTCCTCCTCGGTGTGGTCTACCGTAGCCCCTGAGTCCCCCTAAAGATGACCAATTCCTCATACAAACTCTTGAGCAACTCTCCTACAACTACCACTTCACTCATCTCCTGGTGGTAGGTGACTTCAACGCCCCAAAGGCCTCCTGGATTGCACTCCAGCGCGTCGCATCAGGCGGACCTTTTGCACCGGCGCTGTTAGAAGTCGTTCAACAGAGCGCTT